AGACGATAGCAACATCCAACAGAGTCCATCTAAAAACACACACATCATGTCTAAGTACTTAAAAAGCCCAACAAGCAAAGGCAACATTAGTAATAATAATAATAGTAATAATAATAATAATGGATACAGTAACAAAATTGTCAAAGTGCCTAAATCTTCCACACAGTCCAGTGATAGAGCATGATGCTCTATCTCACACCAATGTCCTCACTCCTCACCCCTCGCTCCCCGCTGGCTGCTCCTCCCCCTCCCCCCAAGCTCAGAGTTGAACAGTTAGATGCCTCGGGGGGACAAAGGAGGTTTTGGTCATGTTAGTTTTGCACCTGGGGAGGAGCAGCCTGTCGCTGAACTGGCTCCTCTGGGCGATGATGACAGTGTGCAGAGGGTGGCTGGCATCATCCATGATGGTCAGTTTGTTCAGTGTCCTCCTCTTTGCCACTGTCACCAGGGAGTCCAGTTTCATGCCCACTGCAGAGCTGGCCCACCTGATTAATTTGTCCAGCCTCGATGTGTCCCTTTCTGACGTGCTGCTGCCCCAGCACACCACGGCGTAGAAAAGGACGCTGGTGACCGACGACTGGTAGAACATCCGCAGGAGTTTCCTGCAGATGTTGAACAACTGAAGCCTCCTCAGGAAGTACAGCCTGCTCTGTCCCCTCTTGTACAGGTAGTCTGTGTTGCATGTCCAGTCCAACTTGTTGTCCAGCCACAGCCCAAGGTACTTGTAGTTTTGCACAAGTTCAACCTCATGTGCCTCAATCAGAACTGGTCGTGGGCATGATTTCCTGAAGTCTATGACCAGTTCCTTTGTCTTTGAGGCGTTGAGCTGCAGGTGGTTTTCTCTGCACCAGACAACAAAGTTGTCCACCAGACTCCTGTACTCACTCTCTCTGTCATCCTTGATACACCCCATGATGGCTGTGTCATCTGCGTACTTCTGTATGTGGCACAGCTCTGTGTTGCACCAGAAGTCTGAGGTGTACAGGGTGAAGAGGAGAGGGGCCAGCACTGTCCCCTGAGGGGCCCCTGTGCTGCTGACCACAGTGTCAGATGTGGTGTCCTTCAGTCTGACATACTGTGGTCTGTCACTGAGGTAGTCAGAGATCCAGTCCACCAGGCACGAGTCCACTCCCATCCTTTTAACTTTCCCCGCAGTACCGGGGGCTGGATGGTGTTAAAGGCACTTGAGAAGTCCATAAAAAGAATCCTCACATATAAGCAAAACAATTCCAGTTTCTGCTTAAAAATGTGGTGGCATAAAGTTTTCAAGCTAAGAACGGGGAAAGATGCTCATAAATAGTCGCGGTACCCACATTGACTTACCCGAGCTCCCAGTCTGAGGATCAGCTGAGTCCTCTGTTTGTAGTTCAGAAGCTCCGGGACCATCTCTGTCACCAGTGTGATGAATTCTGCCAGTTTGTCATACTGGTCCACGTTTCTGTCCTGTGCAACCTGCCACATACAGGCTGACATCAGCCTCAGTGGAGCAACCAGGAGGTGCACAGATGACAGCAGGGAGATGAGGATCTGACAGCAGCAGCACAAATAAACACCACGTTATTAACATGTGCCGTCTCAAACCTAAACCACACAGATGCCTGAAGTTAATATTACACACATCAATCAGCAGCACTGTTGATAGCTTCATCACATCTTGCGACACTTTTAACCACGCCCTGAGAAGTTCACTCTGCAGAGGAGTGAAAATAACTTTACTTGTATAACACAGTTCATAAGGGAGATCGATTAAGTGCTTCACATTGATATAAATTAGAGAGTAAAATACAAAATAAAGGTTACAAAAATAAAAGTCTGTAACAAAAGGTAATGAAAGTAATAACTAAATCTGATACTAGTAAATGACATTAAAATGCATAAATGTAAGCATAAAAAGATAAGCTTTAAGGCTGTATTTGAAGTTCTCTACTGAATGAAATGCTCTGACTTACTCTCAAATGTAGTCTGTGTACATACATGTATAATGTATAGACACAACAAATTTTATTGTCAAATTAGTCTGACATATTTTTAGTCATTTGGTTCAAAATAGTTTAAGTTTATTTAATATCAGAAGGCACTGTATATATATAAACTGCATATATCTTTTGCTATTTATACAACTTACCTACAGCTACTATATTATATACTTAGTTTACATCTCCTTTTGCACTTCTGGTTACATGCTGAACTGCATTTCGTTGTCTTGGTCCTTATAATCTGTGCAAAGATAAAGTTACATTGAATCTAATTCCTTTTTCTTTTTTTAAAACAGGGAAAAAATCCCAAAACATATAAGTTTGATATGTCATTGCTACTTCAGATAGCTTGTTGTGTGGTATAAACGTAGTAGATCCTTACATTCAAGATGCAACAATCAAGATCTTTCACTTGATAANGTAGGGTGCCATTCAGCAATGTAGCTGGAGCTGCATGTGTCCAACTCCCAACTAGGCCTGCTCAGTGGCTGAAGGGTCTTCCTCCTCCTCCTCCTCCTCCTCCTAGGGGGAGATAATTGTTTGTAGGTTTGTTCTGGAGTATTAAAATATTCTTCTGTTACAGTAGCAATTCAATATTGACATCAGAAATCTGTTTCAGTATTATTATATTTCTGTTATGTTTTGTCAATGGGACTGATGTTTCAAAGGTTGGGTTAATGAATTACAATTTTAAAAAAATCAAGTAAGATCTCTTTTTAGAAACAGCGTCTGCATTATTCGATGACTACACTTAGCAGCTGTAACAGGAAACACATATTCCAGCGGATTTCATGCATAAGAAAGTTCGATATTACTTGTTCAGGTATATGTATGGAGAGAGATCTGAATGTGTCAAGGCGTTCCAGTTGTTTTTATCAGTGAATGGCTGTATGTTGGAATGCTTTCATCACCGTCTTGCTCTCCTCCAGAGCCAACATGATTACGGCCACCACCAGGTTAATCAGCTGGTCGATGACCACAAAGTAGAGTTGACCAATCCAGGCCAGGTAGCTAGCACATGTGGAGAACAAGATTTTGTTCATTCACCGGCTGGCAGGTGTGAAATAAACTAACCATGGTAGGCAGGTATTCCATAAAACCACTGATACCCTAAGAGTTCCTTGGTATTATCCTCAAGTATTACTCCATACATGACTGACTTTGGATATTGTTGTTTTGTCAGTGGTTCGAGGATAATACATGTATAGAGCTTGTGAATATGCATGTATAAGTGTGTGCATGCTTAATTTTTTTTTTTTTTTTTGCATTTTTGTGTTCTCTACGGCTCCCATTTGCCAGGATTCATCAACTCAACACAAATCCAGAAGGGACATATGTATTTATGCGCAAAGCAAAATCATTTATAAATGCTTTTATAATGAATCTGACTGAAAATATCACCCACAAACTGTCTGTGTTTACCTTAGTGATGGTTTTCAGCAAAACTGACATCCCCTGGGCCTTCAACACTTTATAAACAAAAAAGATTTGTTTGTGTGTGTGTGTGTGTGTACCTTGTGCTAGTCGGAGTCCCCTCAAGGCCCTTAGGATGATGGGATTGATTGGAATTAGATGGGCCATTTCCATCTCGTTGAAAATTATGCTGACGATGGAAGCA